TTTTCGTGGTTTTTTTTTGTGGTAAAATTATAAAATAAAAATTTTTTTTTGATTTCTATTAACTTTACGACATTCTTCAATTGCCAGTTCAGAATTCTTATCGTTCAGGTATACACCAAGGTCAATAATTGGAAGATTAAAGGTTGTTGACAATGATTCTGTTGACATTAATTTTATAAATTTTTTTTACTTTCTAATAAATAATTAAAATTCATACAAGAATAAATTATTAAAGGTGGACAAATTACACAGGGTATCGTCAATATGCAGATCCTCTGATAAAAAAAACTATATTAGTATGTTTTAAACCTTCTTCTCCAAGTTTCACTCTGTCAAATGGAGCTAAGACGTTTATATTACGTACAATATTACGAAAGATAGCCTTAATTAAACTCTACATACTTTTACACGCACACTTGCCGCAAGATTACAGAATGGTCTTTGCGGTTAATTGGATATCCGACGAACTCGTATGGTGTATTTTTAGCGCCCCTTTCATTTATCTCTAGTTAGAAGGTGGGTTTTTGTGAGCTATCGAGATAATTCGTTTTTGCTTTTACTATATACAAAAATTACTAATAAAATTACACAAATAAAATTTAAAAAGGCTTTAAAAAGACAAATTTTTATTTTTTGACATAAATATTATTATAAGTATCAAATATTATTTTAATATCCATTTTTTACAAAAAAAACATTAATAGAGATATGTAAAGGATTAAGACCGCCAATATTACCAGGTTTGCCTGTTGATTATCCAAAGGGCGTTGGGATATAGATCCAAGAGACCAACTATTGGAGAGCTTGATGAATTTATTACTAATGAATTGAAGGGAATTGTAAAACTGACAATATCAACAATAATAATCCAATGCTAATAAACTAAAAAAGATTATTCAAATTTTCGAAAAGTAACAACATTCAATAGATTTTAATGAAAATAGTAGTAGATGATGATATTGGATAATAATAGTAATAACAATAAAGTAATTCGTATACAACAAATAAATGATGATTAAATATAGTAATGATAGTTTTTTCTTTTATTTCTTTCTTTTTAAATCAGAAACTTCTTTATTGTCAATATTATTATTGTACATACTGACTGATATGGGCATTGAGTAGATTCGGATTCATTCAATTAATTTTCCATTGTTGAGGAAAAATTTTGAATTTATTAATCATTTTTACATTCTATCAAAATTATCAATTTTTTTTTTCAAAAATTCTTTTTATATTTCCCATAAATGTGTAATATATTTTAGATGTAGATTCATCACAAAATTACAATGAACAATAATATCCGAAACTTCAGAGACATTAACTCGGCAAATAGCTCCTTTATATTTTTTTCCATCATCTTTTTACAATTTCAGTTTCTCCCGCCAAGTTCCATATCCAAATTTGACTTCTTAGAACTACTATTTACTTTTCTTTTTTTCAAAATATGAGCAGTAGAAGACTTTCCTCCCATTATTATGTATTATTACTTCCATCTTAAATGAATGGAAGTGGTGAGATAATTAATTTAATTAATTGGAACAGATGAATTTATTTGTGAGAAAACTTCATTTTATTTATTATGTTCGGTCAGTCAACCAATGAAAAATCAAATATCCTATTAACCAAATATTCGCTGAATACTTGATTAATAATAGTAACACTTATTCCAATGTCATCGAGACTATGGTGTGATAGCAGCCAGATATTGTACCTTTCGTAAATCTGAAATTTACAAAATAATTGGCATTGATCCTGAGTGGTTTATATTACGGCGTGAGGTCAACACTTCAAGTCTATCTCAGATGAATCACCGATGTGAAGAAAATCAAATTGATGATGTCGTTCTTATCATGAAAATCAACCTGTTGGAAACAGTTCGACTTATTCGATAACGGACAGACATTATCGATTTTGTAAAAATCATATCAAAATTTTCCGCTTACAATTTACTATATATATATATAAATTTTTGTTTTGCTACTAATGAAGCGATTGTAAATTGTTAATATTAATAGTAAATGGGTACGACGACCCCGATATACTGGCAGAGACATTACCACTGGTGGATTGTCTAGGATAGCAGTTATACTTCAAAGAGTGAAGACTTAGTGATCTCCAGTGCATCATATACAGATTCATAGAGCTGCAAGCATGATCTTAAATTAAAGGACAAGAACCGGTTTATTTCCCCAGGGGAGAATAGAGTCAGCATGCACCCTGAAGAAAGTTCTCAAGGCATATTTTATATGTAAATAATAATAAATAAATAAATAAATAAAATTCCTCAACATTCTAAATTTTGCAATACGTGTATGAACGTATATATAATTTAGGGGTATTAACGCAGTAAACTCAACTGGAGAACAATGGTTTAGTAATATTTTACATGGTATAGGTCTTGTAATCAAGATATGCAAAGTATTAAGACCAGAATTCTCAATTAATTAATACTTTACACTTTTATGTTGAATTGTAAAATTTTATGTTTTATAAATCTCTCAATTAAAATTGTAAAAGTAAATTATCACATAAAAATTCTAAGTTACCAATCATGTATTTTAAATATATAGAATTATCAAATGAAAAAATGGTCTTGGAATTTGTTTATCCATAATTTTTGGTGAGTTTAATTACGAAGAATTATAATCAGAGTCAAAGGCGATTGATACGAGAGAGTTGTTATTTTATTATTTTAATGCAAACATGCATTAGGTGTCAAAAGAATTGATTACATCAGCAAGAAGGTATAGTTAACTTCATAGCACTATGTTATTACCTATATTTAAAAGGAAAAATATGATTGAAGGTAAAGAAAAGCAATTGAGGCATTTGTGCTTACTGATAGGAACAACGTAAATACGAGTTCTCATAAGGTAGATAGATGTCAACACGAGTAAAATCGGATATTATGGATAGAAATGCACAGGTAAGTTTGTTATCGATATTTTAGATAGAACCAATTCATTCGTGATATTGAAGCGAAAATCAGAGTGAATATCACGTTGCTTCCACATTATATTAATATTAAATGGTAAATTATCCGTTTTTGTCATAAAATTTACGCCTGAACCATTAAAGATTTTTTTTTGGTATCGAAAGAAAATTAATTGCCTAAATTAATCGATAGAATAGATACCGAGACAAATGAATGTTCAATTGGCACAATATGTGTCATCCCGATAAAAATTAGAATGATGATTAAATCTTTGGCAGTCGTTTAATTGAGCTTTGGCGATGTTGTTGTTGTATGTGAATTTGAAATTAGCTAATTAAAAGGAATTTCGCGCACAAACGCCTCCATATTTAATTGGATTAATACAACAATATTATAAAAATTGTTTTTGTTTCCCATTTATATAAATAATTTTAATAATCCACAATTCTAGCTCTTTTTTTTCAAGTGAATATTCGGTCTGAATTAAATTTTCCTTTTTGTCTTACTTGATTACAAGAAACAGAATTTACTTTCTCAATATTCATTCAGAAAATAATATGACAACGAAAGAACAAAGGCATATGTAAATGGTATATTTTAAAAAGAATAGATAGTATTTTCCGGAAATATCTTTATTGAATAATTCTTTGATGTAGTTGTTTAATATATCCACGGCTTCTAACCACTCAAAACAACCCTTTGAAATAATAATAAACCATGTATTTTCAAATAAACTAGATGAGGCAATAAGTCATCATAATATATGACTTCTCGGCGAAAGACTCCCTTTATCTTCCTTAGTTTAGTTCCGAGAGTATCGTTTTCTAATGTGAAGATCATATTTGAATTCAATCTATATATCATTGTTCTTGTAATTTTCATAAAATTTTTAAAAGTTGGTCGATGGCCATTAAATGGAATATTTTATCGGATGGTCTTTGCAAGTTCAATTGAATTGTCTTTGTAAGATCGTTAAACAAGATTATATGATGTTAAGTTGTTGTTTTATTTAGTGTTTCTCTATATCTGAATAAAAAGTTAGGCTACGCTGCTGTTTTTTTTTTGTACGTCAATTCATTTAAAAATTGTGACCACCCCTTAATAATTGACGTGTAGTGTTGAAAATTCAATCAGGGCGTATCAAGTTACGCCAAATCGAAAATATTTCAGTATTATTACTATATATATATATAAAAACAATAATAGAGAAATGATTTTTATTCAATACTGATGATAACTTTTCTTTTTAATTATCCAACTATAGTGAATAGTTGTTAAAATGCACTAAATTATGTTAGAAAATCATTTAATGGTTTTATTAAATTTTTATGCACACGAGTTGTGTAACGTGATACACCATGATCATACATTGTTAACGTGTAAAATAAAATTTATGCAATCAAAAAAAAAAAAATTTTTATATATAATTATTTTAACAAATTAAACTGCGTGTGAAAATAAACGATCACATGGCAAAGAATTAATTACCAATATGTGGCCTTTTTTTTTTTTTGAAATAAAATAGATCAAAATTCTAAAGAGTAGTTAATCAAAGAACCTTAAAAGGTCTAATTATTACAATGACTAATTGACGACGATTAGTTGGTTTGGTTGACAAAGAATTATGGCTGATTGATGTTTTTTTTTACAAAAATGAAGATTCAAATGGTAAGTTCTTTATCTCATTATTCAAAAAGAATCATGCAAGCCTATTTTCTAATTGCGAGTGGAATAATAATGTGGGAATATAAATACTTCTTTATAAATATACAGCTCTTGCTGACAAACTGAAATAAATACTAACCCAATAATCTAATAATATTTTATAAAAAAAAAGATGGGATCAAATATGAAATTGCTGGTTGAAGGATTGAATTTATCAGAAGAGGAAAAAAACATACTCGAAAGCCCACCAGATATTATAAAGATGACAATTGATTATTTGATTTCTTTTTCTAATAAACCAAGAAAAACTCCACCAAAGATACAAAATGCGTGGATAATATTCTTAAAAAACTTTGGTGAATATTTAAGGAAAACATATCCTGAAGAAACTTTCTCTATGATAGAGATTTCACGTGAAGCTGCTGACGTATGGAATAATTTAGAAGACACGGATTTAACAAAAATTTATTTTAAAATTTTGGCAAAAATTGCCAAAGAAAATTGGAAATTTAATTTTCTCGAAAACTATGATAATAATTGTGTTCAAACATCACCACCACCTTTTCTTTTAGAAAGCTTTGTTCATTCTTCTTCATCATCAATCAGCGCTGAAGTCGTCACGTTCGATCCATTAGAGGATGAACCATTGATAAATAATGGAGATGATAATATTACCAATGGATCGACTACCATTATTCCGCAAGCAAATCTCATAGACAGCATACATTGCGAACAATCCGCTAATAACGGTAATTTTGGGATTGCTACTGAACCGTTTTATTATGGTACATCATCTCCAATTGTTACAGACATCGACATGGCAGGTCCACTAGATGATGACGATATTCCTCGTTATTGGAGTGATCAAACATTCGATTCATTTAAATTTTAAGATTAATAATTCTTTTGTGAAAATTTATTATTTATTAGAAGAATATTATTATTATTATTATGATTTATTATTATTATTATTATTATTATTATTATTATTATATGATATTATTATTATGATATGTATTATTATGATATGATATTATTATGATATGTACTATTATGATATGATATTATTATGATATGTATTATTATGATATGATATTATTATATGACATCATATTCTATTATTATTATTTTATATGACATTATCACAAGTAAAAAAAGAAAAATCGGTAATACTCCCGATTTTTGTCAAATTGATAAATTATAAACAATAAATTATGGATTCTTACAATTTTTAGAATTGATAAAAATCAGGGATTTCTGAATTGTCCCTATTTTTGATAAGCAATTAGTTAAAATTCGGGATCACCAATTGTCAACTGGTTATTAACATTGCCAAAAATCGGGTGGATAATTGGTTTTTTTTTGATTTGATATCGAATTTTTCTAATTGGTCACTGAATACCTTATCATTATTATTGATGCAAGTTATAATAACAATTAAAATAACTTACAGAAAAATAAGTTATATAACACTTCTTCATAAATCAGTGAATAATCATTCAGCAATTAATAAAAGATCAGCTAAAGTTTCAGGGTGTTTGATATGATACATTTTTTTGCCTGATAGTTTACTGATTTTTGGATACTGAATTTCTACCATTTGGTTACTGATTGTTGCCAATGTGCGCCAAAATTCAATAACAATCAGATATGAGAAAATCATCACCATTCTTAAAATAGGTTGAAAATCAGGTACCTGATATTTCATTGTTTTTATTCCAAATTGTCCTTTTTTTAAAGAATTTTACAAATATTATCAACAAAAAATTTGATTTTCAATTTTTTTAATTAAGTTTTTTACTACTAATGCAATTATTGTAACTTGTTAATATTATAGTAAATGTCCTCGTCTGCCGTGGTTACAATTACAGTCGGAACTCATTAAGACGATGCTTTGCACAGGTAAAAAAAGGACAATTTGGAATAAAAACAATGAAATATCAGGTACCTGATTTTTAACCTATTTTAAGAATGGTGATTATTTTCTCGTATCTGGTTGTTATTGAATTTTGGCGCACATTGGCAACAATCAGTAACCAAATGGTAGAAATTCAGTGTCCAAAAATCAGTAAACTATCAGGCAAAAAAATGTATCATATCAGACACCCTGAAACTTTAGCTGATCTTTTATTAATTTCTGAATGATTATTCACTGATTTATGAAGAAGGTTATATAACTTATTTTTCTGTAAGTTATTTTAATTGTTATTATAACTTGCATCAATAATAATGATAAGGTATTCAGTGACCAATTAGAAAAATTCGATATCAAATCAAAAAAAAACCAATTATCCACCCGATTTTTGGCAATGTTAATAACCAGTTGACAATTGGTGATCCCGAATTTTAACTAATTGCTTATCAAAAATAGGGACAATTCAGAAATCCCTGATTTTTATCAATTCTAAAAATTGTAAGAATCCATAATTTATTGATCAATTTGACAAAAAATCGGGAGCATTATCGATTTTTCTTTTTTTTACTTGTGTTGATATGCACGACAAACTTTATTATCCGATTTATTAAGATTTTTTTTGTGCATTTACTTCGGTTTAACGAGTTCTGACTGCATAATTCAATAACAATAAATTTTGCAAGCGTATTCACCATTCAAATGCTTAATCACATCCAACCCATTATTATTACAGTCTTTAACAACATTGACGCTTCCCATCTTTCAATCGATTGGTACGGATCACGTGATCAAAAGGATATTTACAGAATGGATTGTAGTTTATGCTTTGATTGTTTAAAAGACAACAGCTCTGAACTTTGTTTTCGTGATAAAATATAAAATAATTTGTAACAATAAAAAAATTATTTATATCAGTTTATAGCTTAGTCCTGAGATTATGTACTTAAATAATTAAATATAAAGAAATTCGATTATTTTTCATTTTTTTGACTGCATGTGCATTATGAATTAGTCTTTTTCTTTTATTGGACTTCGGTATTTTATTAAACACGAAGTCTTTTACAAAATATAACTTATTCAAAAGCTGATTAATTCTAAATATTTCTTTATTTAAATTTGGATATTTTATTATTTACGATTTTTATTATTATTTATTATTATGAAAGATACTTTACGTTTTCTTTAAAAGGAAATGCTTATCAAAAAATTTTTTATTAATATATAAAATCGTACATCTTTAATCCTTTAATAAACTTTTTTTTACTAATAATTTAAAAAAAAACTCTCTGTCAGGCTATTCTTTGAATCACAAAGAAAAAAACCACGGAAATTTTTTTACTCTAACTTAGGTTATAAAGACTATACGTTTTCAAAGTTTAACATTTTGGATGATTTTACCGCATATTAATATAAAAAAAAATTATTGTTTTACAAAACCTTAAAAAGATAAAAAATGAAAATTTCGGAATTTTCTGAAAAATGTTTGACTCGAAAATTGACCACAATAGCAAGTTCTAACGACCTTTATGGTACAAGCAAAAAACGTGTCTCATGTTTGAAATTAGTTATTTGCAGAATTTCACAAAGTTTGCCATATTATTTCTCAATTTATGGACAAAAATCCTAAACGGATTGTTTTTTTCCAATTTTGAAGAACGTTAATATTTAAAAAATTAATAGATAGTATGCCATGAAGGGTTGATGCTGTTTTGTAAAGTAGAGGAAACCCGACAAGATATTAATTTTTTTTTAATAAAATATAATCAATTTAAAATAGTTTCATATATTTTTTATGTCTTTTATTTTTCAAATTAGTGAACAATTTGAGGTTAAATCATTTTGTAAAATTTTTAACGATTTACTTTTTTCCTCATTAATTAATTCACCAAATGCTCTAAAATTTTAGAATTAACTAGTTTTAAACATGAGAAACATTTTTCACTTATATTACAAAGGTCGTTAGAACTTGCTGATGTGGTCCATTTTTGAGTTAAAGATTTTAAAAAAAATTCTGGAATTTTCATTTTTATCTTTTAAGGTTTGTAAAACAACAATGCTTTTATTTATTATATATAGTAGATTAATTTTTACTTAATAAGCAGGTGTGATTGGGACAGTAAAATTTTTATGTCACTTTATTCAATTATTTGCAATGATCTGCAGGTGTCCCTATACTTTTGTCCAGGAAGTGTACATAGTACAAGTAAATTTAAAAAGGAATAAATAATAGAGATAGTTTATCAAGTAATTTTGACGTTAACTCCGTTGATTAATTCAAAAAGGCTTTTTTTTTTATTTTTTTCTTTCATTGAAATATCATTGAATAAATACTAATTAACTTTCTTTTATCAACAATTTCTTCATTGTCAATATTATCATTGTTATTACTCCCATTATCACAATTGTTGTAGTACATATTCATTCCGGATAATCATTGTTCGTTTTGCGACATCGTTTTACCAAAATTATCAAATTTTTTTTCAAAAATTCTTTTTGAGGTCATTGTATTCCCAATAAACATGTAATGTTAATATATGTAGTTAGACGTAGATTCCCTGCAACATTAAAATGAAGAATAACATCAGAAGTTTCGGAGACATTAACTCCACAAATAGCCCTTTTTATATTTTCTCCACCGTCTTTTACAATTTCAGTTTCTTTCATCAAGTTCCATATTTCTTAGAAACATACTTCAAATTATGAGCAGCAGAAAACTCCCCTCTCATTATCGTATTAATGCCTTTTTCTCTTCCATTTTAAATAAATGGAAGTGAATAATTAATTTAATTAATTAGAATGAACAAATGGACGAATTTATTTGGCATGAGAAGATTTCATTTCATTTATTATATTCGGTCAATCGATCAATGAAAAAATCGTATTCAATAAATCTTATTCTTTGGGTGCTAGTACTATTAATGAATGGCAACGCTTATTCTAATGTCATCGAGACTATGGTGTGTCTTGCAACCAGACATTTAGCACAGAATAATATATCTGAATGGTTTATATCTATGACATGAAGTCATCAATTAATCCCAACACTTCAAGTCTATCTCAGGTGAATCATCAATGCGAAGAAAATTAAATTGACGATGTCGTTTTTATTATGAAAATCAACCTGTTGGAAACAGTTCAATTTATTCGATAACGGACAGACATTATCGATTTTGTAAAAATCATAAAAATTTTCCCGTTTACAATTTACTATATATATATATTTGCTACTAATGAAGCGATTGTAAATTGTTAATATTAATAGTAAATGGTTACAGCGACCTCGATATACTGGCTGAGACATTACCACCGGTGAATTGTCTAGGATAGCGTTTATACCTCAAAGAGTGAGGACTTGGTGATCTCCGGTGCGTAATATGCAGATTCATAGAGCTGCAAGCATGATATTAAGTTAAAGAACAAGAACCGGTTTATTTCCCCAGGGGAGAATAGAGTCAACATACACCTCGAAGAAAGTTCTCAAGGCATATTTTATATGTAAATAGTAATAATAAACAAACAAACAAACAAATAAAAATTTCTCAACATCTTAAATTTTGCATATATGAACCATACTATTTTCTCAAGCGTTTAAATAGCAAAACATACATAATGTATATAATTTAGGGTATTGATGCAGTAATCTCAACGGGACAACAATATTTTACTTGGTATATATCTTGCAACCAAGTATTAAGACTAGAATTCTCAATTAATACTTTACAATTTTATGTTGAATTGTAAAATTTTATGTTATAAATTATAAAATTTATATGAAAATTTTAAGCCACCAATCATGTATTTATAATTGCTGGTGAAATTAGTTACGAATAGTTATATTCAGAGTCAAATGCGATTGATACGATAGAGTTTTTTATTTTAATATTTTATTGGAAACATGCATTAGGTGTCAAGAGAATCTATTAAATCAGCAAGAAGGTATAGTGAACTTAACGGCACTATGTTATTATCTATATTTA